TGACGCCAGGCACTGTGCTCTGCAGCTGGGGAGATGGCTGAGCAGCAGTTTGTGCAAATGATGCCACTGCTGCTTTTTGGCTGGCAGTTTGGAAGATAATACATTGTTCTTGCAGTGTAACAGAGATTTTAGTATTCCCTGTAGCTGGCTATATATTATACCTGTCTTTTCCTCTCTAATTTGTAATTGTAGCAGGCCTCAGTAAGAGACAGATCATTTCTAGACTTCAAAAAATTGAAAATTACCTTTCTTTTCACTGACAAATGTTTCTCTACACAGCTGACTTTGGTTTTGCTCGTTATCTGCATAGCAACATGATGGCTGCAACCCTCTGTGGCTCCCCAATGTATATGGTAAGTGCATTGCAGATCATGTTGCTTATCTCAAGCCTTCTCCTCCCAGAAGAAAATACTTCACTGCTGGCAGATTGGCAAATGCCTGATATTGTTTCAGAATTATTGGGGCATCATGCAGTTCACCTTTCCATAGTTTTACTAGCTCCTTTTTTCCCTTGCAATTTGGAGATCACAGTTGTTCAAATCAGAGGGACATTGAACATTTCTTAACGCTGTAGGGAGGAGAAATCTTAAAGAAATAGAAGGCAATTCATCTTAGTAATAAGTTTTTGAAGTAGCTTCATTCCCACTTACATTTTTTTTTTCCCCCAAAATTGGGCATTATCTCCTTCCCAGTTTCTAAGAAAATAAAAAGTGATCAAATAGAGGCTGGAAGAGCTTTACACTAGTAGTTAAAAAAACTACCTGATGTTTTAATTCTATTTTTTAATGTATTCTTTCACATGTGGTGTTTGTTTTGTTTGGTGCTTTCTTTTAAATAGCAAAATTAGTTAATTGCCATTAATTTCTACTAAGTGGTGTGGGAGTCAGTTGAGCACTGAACTGACTTTGGCACTAGCAGTTCTGTACTGTATGGTCATGGGAAGATCATTTTGCTTTCCCTTCGCTTGTTTTTGTATATGTAAAATGGTGATAATGACATTTCTTATGAAATGCTTGGTTATTTTTCTACAAGCAGGACTGCACAAACCAAGTATATAATGCCTCTTATTTCTATTACACACCAATCACTGAATACTTCCTTTAGCACATCATCAGTTCTAGTTTTCCATGGTTTTTGAAACAGCTTTCATTTTAGATAGAACTGTTACCTTTTGAGTCATGGGATGCAGATTAAAATGTTAATTTTGTCTTAAAATAAAGTGATGTCTGTTAGTACTGCTCTGACAGAAGAACTGTAGAATTCATATCACTGTAGCTTTGCTTTTTGTTTTTCATTCTGAGATGTTGCTGTTCTTTCCAGGCCCCTGAAGTGATTATGTCTCAACACTATGATGCTAAAGCAGACCTGTGGAGCATAGGAACTGTGATTTATCAGTGTCTTGTTGGAAAACCACCTTTTCAGGTAACACTTTTATTTCCTTTTCTCTCTTTTTAGTCTCATGGAAATTCCTAGGGCTTTGCCTTCCAGTCATGAAAACAGACGTAAGTGGTGATAGTGTCAGTGCTTCAAAGGCCAGGTTGCTTGAGGATACCAAAGGAAAAGTTGCTCATACTTAGTCTGTGTGATCAGTGTGTTCATTCTAGAGGAAATATATGAAGCAGTGCTGAAGTCACTGCTGTGCTTGGGCTTTTCTCCTTTAATGCCCATATACAAAGGCCTCCTTTTTGTCTATGTGTGCATAGGTACGTGAAACTGAGCTTTAATTAATGTACATTTTTATTTGACAGGCCAATAGTCCTCAAGATTTGAGAATGTTTTATGAAAAGAACAGGAATTTGATTCCTAGGTATGTCGCTGTGGCCTTTCCTGTCACTTACATTTGTTGATTGAATACTTTTTCATTTTTGGGAATGCCTGGGATTCATAACAACATTTGGTGTTGCTCTCTTGCCAAGGACATAGTATGATACCAGTGACTCGTGTTGCATTTTGCCTTCATTGGACCCTGCTGAGTTGAAAGGGTCCTGTGCTAAGGCTATAGAGCATGTATAGTGAAGACTTAGGGACCTGGCAAAGTGCTGACTTCCTGAAATTTAATGTGCTATGCATTATTTAATGCATGCATTAAATTTAATGCATGTTTTACTTCCTCTTGTGTGCAGCATTCCTAGGGAAACATCAGCTTATCTGGCTGACCTGCTGCTGGGTTTGCTTCAGAGAAACCAAAAAGATAGAATGGACTTTGGTATGTAACTTTTCCTTTTGCTCTCTTGATTTTCTTTGTGTTCATGTGGCCAGATCAGCTGTCTTCACCTTTTGTCTACAGCAAATCATATGAAAAGTGAAGTATTTTTTTCTTTTCAATTGTCATAAAGAAGACAGAGTAGCCAAAAAGGCAGTAGTAAGTGATGCACAGAAATTATGACTTTGTTGCTGAGTAGTGAAACATATATTCATTTAGTTCTCTCAATTACGACCTTTGTCCCTCCAGTGTTAACTGATATTCCTGAAATTTCAGGTCATTGTCTTATTTCTTATTAACTGGTGTTTGGGCTTCAGACTGGGAGTAGACATCTCTGATCTCCAGGTGGTGTTGCTTGTTGAAATGTAACAAAGTACTAGAAGAGCCCACTTTGACAGCAAAGTTGCTTTAAATTGTTCTTTTTTTTTTTTTTTTGTAGACTACAAATACCATAACAGTGCTAATGGGGGTACAAACTGTGTCCATTTTATTTGACCTTGAAAACTCTGTGTGTGTATCTAAGGACAATAATGTGACATTACATCAAAATTGTATTTGAGAAGATTAATTCCCAGTATTGCACTTAAATATTCCTAGCTGTAGAGACTTCTTTATTCTAGTGAAATATCTTCACTGGTTTTTTTAAGCCCAATAGCAGAAACAACAGTTGTCTTTTTGTATTTTGTTAAATCCTGAGATTTTTAACATTTTGAAACTGTGCAGTGACTGAAGTTTGCATACTGATAGATTACTGCAGTGACTGTTTAGGATTGCATTTTGAATTAGTTGGGAAGCTAAATCTAGTACAAACTGGATGGGTCCCTCCCTTAACAAAAGTGCTCTTGCTTGGCTCCAGTTTACTGCTGTGTTTGGCTTTTTCTCTTTAGCTGGAGATCTTTGGTTGCAGAACATTATTCCAACTTCTTAGGATTTCAAGGCCTCAAATCAGTTCTGTTGAATCATTCAGAATTAGTCAGGAGTAGAGTTTAGATTTGTGTGTGCTTTGTACTGGCAGGTTTGTTTGTTACTCACTTCAGTCTCAAAAAGCCTTTTTGTTGCTGGGTGTTTGGTTCCATATGACTGCAAAATTAGTAATGCCTTTTTTAATGCTAACTGAGGCAGCATTTTTAAAAGACAGTCACTGAAAAGTTAAATGTGGATTAGTTCTTAGCTGCATCTGGTATGTCATGTTATTCAGGCTGGTTGTGTTTACATTTTACAGCACTGTTTGTTGCTGCAGTTTTATCACAGCTATCAGGACATGTTCAGCTTTTAGCTAATTACAGCTAACTTAGCTAAATACAGTTATTTTTGTCATTACTATTTTATATCACTAGCAGTGTGCTTTATACCAAGATTTGTTTTAGCACCAGGATAGGTGACCCATCAGGTTTAATCTATGGATTGGCAGGAAAGAGCCTAAACCTTAAAGTCTCTTGAGGAGATAAGACCCAGCTCTGCCCTCACCCTAAGCAGTCATCTCTCCTGATGCTGAGATCCTAGGGTGAGCTGCAACCAAAAGTCAGATGTGCTCTGCTTCTGAAACTTCACTATTGCTCTCCAGTTGGACATGCAAGCTTGGTTTTGATGCAGCACTGAAATACACAGATTGACTCACTCATCACATGTGGTCCCTGTGTGTTTGTGATAAGATGACTGTATTTGTTAGGTTGTGGAGAAAGGATTCAAAAGGCATTTTAGTTATTTACTTGGAGCTCAAGACTCTCCTGGATATATTTTTTTTTCTTTTCAATTCCAGCTCTGTTTTGCTTCAAGGAATATCAAACTTTTAAAATTATTTGGAATTTCAAAACATCCACCAGGACTGGCATAATTAAGGTGTTGCTCTTCTGGGGACCAGGGGTGGATTTCTGTGTGTAGATGTGACTGCAGTAACTGGATCTAACTGCTGTTTGTAGAAGCTTAAGCAGAAGTCAGATACAGAAAAGAACTCATGATCATTGAGTAAGATGTCCCAGGTGATAGTGACAGTACTCAAAGATCAATTTATAAATATGTGTATAAGAATTAAGATGTCATAAACGTGGACTCTGAATAATTGATTCCACTTTGCGCTCTGAGTATGCTGATCCCCACAGTTTCTTCAAACATGGGAAATTCACTGTATCACTTGTGGTAGTGGGAGAGCACATTTGTGCTTAGAAAGGAAAATAGAAAGCAGAATGGGAGTGATGAAAGTCATGTTTTCCTTGGCTGAGCAACTTAAAGGGCCTCACTGGGGCTGCTCTGGAATGTGTTTAGCGAAGGGAGTGAAAGGGAGAGCATATAACTGAGCCCAGTTGCCTGTTGTTAAAGTAAAAATAGTGTTGGAAATCTTGTTGATCTTCCAGCAATATAAAGTAGAACAGCAGGTGATGTACAAAAGCTCAGGAACACCCGATCCTTGTGTTAATCATTACATGGTCCTTGCGTCACAGCTGCCTCCCTTCCTTATCAGGCTGGGGAAGAAAGTGTTGAAGGAAGAGGAGATACTGCAGGCCTCAGATTCTTTCTTTTATTTTTTCTTGTTATTTGCTTAGGTCTGATGAAAAGCATTGTTTTTCCTCAACCATTAGAACATTAAAGCTCACAAAGCTTGGCAGCTGGCTCCTACCAACCTTCAGTTTCCCCTAACTAGCTGAAGGTTGCTCCTTGTAGAATAAAACTTTCCATGTAAGCTGCTAGCAAACTGGTTATGCTCAGTCAATTAAATGCATCTCAGCATTTCCATTTACAACAGAAGCAAAGTGTTTCTGTTGTAACAGTAGCAACTGAGGAAATGGTTTAAGAAGTTGTGCTTAATTCTGCTTTAAACTGTGCACAGGCTGCACTGGTCATGTTCTGCTCTTGGGAAGTGGGAGGGACAATGACTGGTGCTTTGGGATTTTTGGCCACCTAAGGAGTAGTTTTAATGGGTTCAAAAATAAGCTTCAGTCCTTGGGAAATGTAGAGGTGAAGATGCTTTCAGTGTTTGATGTGAGGGATGATCGTTTTGAAGAGCAAATTAAAACTGAATGAGTATCATACTGAACATAGAGAACATAATTCCCTGAGGAGTATAGGAAGGCTTCTTGTGCACATGATCCTTAAGTGCAGTCATTAAATATCCTCCAGTAATTCAGTCTGGTTTGCTTTGCTGGCTGATGTTTGAAGTTATTAAATTGTATTTTGTTGCCTTTCCAAATGTTGTAGCAACATATAACATGGAAGGCTTTAATCTTCTGTAAGCTCTTCACCCTCTGGCTCTGAAATATTGATTCTGAGAAAGGCAGCCATTTATCACCATCTGCAATATAGTCTGTAAATTCTATGTCATTTGTAGGTTTACTCACCATGGTTGTTGTTTCTTGTTCTATAGAAGCATTTTTCAACCACCCTTTCCTGGATCAGATTTCAACAGTCAAAAAGTGTAAGTAGTTTTTTGTTTTTCCACTTACTTGGGTAAATGATGAATGTCAGGGCTGGACCAGAGAAAGATCTGCCAAATGTCACACCATATGTTTACAAGGCATTTTCCTGAGCCTGACTTGGTGTGCTCTATTGTGAGGCTAAGTGTTGAATTCTTTTTTGTGTTACCCTGGGTTGAAATGTGCTGCTTATTTACTGGTCCCTGTGGTGTGTCAGCTGAACTTAAATACCCTTGTGTGTCTAAGGATGTGCTGTGTATTATGGTTTATGAATGAAAGCAATGAGGAAATGAGTTGGTTTGAAATTCAGCCTTTCAAAATCTTAGTCCCATTTTATTTTTCTCCCCCTCCTGGGTTTTCCTCTTCTAGCTTGTCCTGTGCCAGTGCCCACATATGCAGGCTCAGTCTCTGGCAGTTCCTGTGGTAGTTCTCCTTCGTGTCGATTTGCTTCTCCTCCAGTAAGTTCTCTGGTTTACAGAACAATCTCTGCAAAAAAACTGTCCTGTGTAAGAACACAGAGCAAAGAACACTTCTGTCTTTTGCTTGGAGAAGGTTATGAACATTTTGGTTCTCCCTGGTTCCATACATTGTGCTTTGTGGGTTTTTTGTTTTTGTTAAAAAAAGAAGAGGTACATCTGTACCACCAGGAATGATTGGATAAATTGCAGGTGATGAAATTCACAGCCTATTTAATATAGAACTATCTAAATTGACAACACAGAGTTATTCAGTATTTGAAATTTCCAAATTAAAATGCATTTTGTATTTCCAAATACTTAAGAAACAAAATCCAGTCACAAATTTATCCCTTTTTTGGTCAAAGCTAGTGATGATTTTTGATTTTGAAGCTTCATATTTAAAAATTCTACATTCTGAGTCACTGGATTTACAGTGGGTTTTGTTTGTTTTTTTGAATCCTGCCCCCTCCAGTCTCTGCCAGACATGCAGCATATTCAAGAAGAAAACTTGTCTTCCCCTCCATTGGGTCCTCCTAACTATCTTCAAGTCTCTAAAGACTCTGCCAGTACCAGTAGCAAGAACTCCTCTTGTGACACAGATGACTTTGTTCTTGTCCCTCACAACATCTCTTCAGACCACTCGTGTAAGAACCTTCCTTATTTTTACATTTTAAAATAATTTCCATTCATAACATACCTCTGTGTCCTATCACTGTTTGTCTCTCTTTGAATGTGTCTCAGTTCACTTGGGGACTCATTGCTTTACTTTGATTACTCTTTGAAGACAGATTGTTTGGTACACCTGGGACATTTTCCCCTTCAGATGAGTAGCCAGATATGTCAAAGATACCAAAGTGATTTAAAATAATGAAAAATATTGGGGTTTGGACCAGAAGAAAAGAGGCAGCTGCAAACAACTGCTCATAAGAAGCCCAAGGTTTCTCACAGTGTAGGCAGGCTCCAGACCAGCTGACACACTTACAGGCCATGCTGTGGAGTTGTAGATAACAAACAAGTGCAGGTAAAAATGTAAAAACTGCTTCCTATGAAAAATAAGGCACTAGACTGGGTTTCTGCAGTAGAAAGACTTGGATGTAGCACTTTGCCATTTTATGACTCTTCCAAAACTGAATTGTCACTAGGAAGCCAGTCAGTTGGTTGCTATACAATGCTCCAGCTCCTGGCAAATATTTGACTAAATTAGTGCTTTAATCTCTGAAGGGTTTGTGTCATTCGTTATCACCAATTTCCCAATGCTGGTATCTTGTACTCTTAAACTATAGATTTTATTTCAAAATTATTATCATTATTATGGCAAGACAACCCCAACAAAAATAAAGAAGCAACAAACAAACTTGTTGAAGACCTCCCTTCCCCAGTTACATTTTTGTTGTAGGTCACATTTGAGGTAGTTTCATACACAGAACACTTTGTGGAAAGCTTTTACATGTTCACAGAAGTTTGTCAGAAGTGATTATTTCTACAACAGTGGTGCTGGAGGTACATTTCTTTTTAAGATGCTGCTTCATGACGTGGGTTTTCACTGTGTTCCTCTGCTTCCTGCAGATGATCTGCCATTGGGAGCAGCTGGCAGGAGGGCTTCCAGTGAGTTCTTGATGTGTGGAGGGTAGGTGTGCTGAGCTTTATCCAAAAGAAATCTCATGTTCTAAAATTGGGACTGCAGCTGTGGAAGGGGTGGCTGGGGTTTTGGCAGGGGTGGGTTTCCATAGCTGCGTGTGGACTTCCTTCAAGATTAACGTGCCAAGTTGAATTTAATATGAATATGCAAACAGCCTGAATTCAGAGTTTTGCTGCAAAGTACCTAGTTTCTCTGCTGTGAAGACCTGCCTTTGACAGGGGTTATTGTTTTCACAGGCAGTCCCCATTAACTATTTCTGGAAGCTCAGGAACTATACAGAAACCATCCTCAGCCTCTTCTCGAAGTACTGCTTCTGGTGCAGCTAACAGGTGTGTGATGTGGCCTTAGTACTTCCTGCCTTTTAAAAAGGTTCTCTGGTACTATATGGTTGGTTCTGTGTTGTTTTGGGTTTTTTTTAATTGTGGATGGTGACTGGAAACAGAATTGAAATAGAAGTTAGACCAGTTTTTTCCAGGCTCTCTATACTTAATACATTATAATGGCTGATGGTTGAATGGCTGACTTCTGGCTCTGGTGCATCCTCAAAAGTTTTCCTTAAGGAAAGGGAACATTCTTCTGGCTACTTAAATTTTCAGCTGGTTGAAATCAGAAGCATCATAGGCATAACTGACTTGTCCTTTTTGTGGTATGAAGCACAGCACAATCTTCATTCAGTGAGTCAATATGTTGTTTTCAGGAGGAGCTGTGAGAGAAGAGGAACTTACAAAGCCCAGATTGCTGGGGATTTGTGTCTCGTGGCTGGTTTGTCTTGTGTCTGATAACTGGGTGTGGCTTCTGTGCAAACGATTACTGTGAACTTCATGTTTGTCTCTCACAAGATGCCAAAGAAGCCACGTGAAACAGCTGAACATGTATTGCAGCTTTTCCATCAGCAGAACTGTTCATGAGTTCTCTCTTTCTTCCACGTGGTTGTAGACAAGGCTTCAGCTAGTTTGGAATGGAACACATTCATTAGTAGTGCCTGAAATCTTTCTGATGTTATATTGGAAAAATCTAAAATATAATTGTGCTGTTTAATTACTCATGTGATATCTAAACAGAAGGGTTAGATTTGTCATTTAAGTAATGAATTTCATAATATTTTCAATCCAAATAGAAAGAGGATGAATGGCTAAATGGGGAATAAAGCTATTATGTTGGGTGTATTTTTGGCTTGCACTAATACTCCATGGCAGAGAGTCAGCATTATTTGTTTAGAAATGCTTGTCACAAGAAAAGTTTGCTACTTTGTGCTGATCTTTGTGCAGTTTGTGAAATCTGCTGACATGGGCTATCAATACAGCTTTAGTCTTACCTTTCATGTTTAAGGGCAGATAATGGGGATGGTTTGTCTGTAAAGATCCATTTGCTCTGGATTGAATATGTAATTTCCTAATTTAAATTGTGTTGGGCATCACAGTTCTTAGAGCTACAAGTTTTATGAAATTGACAGTTGTGTTACTGTACCTTAGTAACTTAAGAGCTGAATGATTGTGTGATTAGAAACAGGTGTCTACTGTTTCAGTGTACTATAATAGGTTGATTTAGTTATTGGTTGAGTAAATTTGGTAACTAACTCGTTGCTTGGGGCTTGGTCTGAAGGGAGCAGTGTCTGATGCTCCACAAGATGTTACTTTTGTTGTTTTGTTTTATTTTCTGAGAAGTGTTCTTTCATAGTGTGTGGTGATTGTGGTTTGGGTTTTTTTACAAAAGGTTGTGCTCTGTGAAACAGTGATTTTTTTATTTATTTTTTTTTCTGATTAGCTGCTCAAACAGAATTAATTGTACCCATAGTTATGCTGCTTTATGTCAAGTAGAAGAAGCTGGAACACTTCTCAGGCTCCAGCCAGAATAGGCAGAGTAGGCAGAGGTGGTTTGCTCTCCTGTGGGTAATTGCTAATGTTATTCTCTAGATCTCAGGGAACCAAGATTTGCATACAATTCTGCACGCATCTGTATTGCATTGTCTCCAACCTGTAACAAACCACATCAGACTGTGGGATGCTAAACCAGAGCTTAGCTTAGGCCTGAGCTGAGGAGTCCTGCTGGAAGGCCAAGGACTGTACCTGCCACTCCACCACAGCCTGGCTGCTGCCAGTTAGCTCACAACCTGCACAGCTTGCCTGTCTCTGCCTGCAGGGCTGTGTGAGAGCAAGGGAAAGCATTTTTCTTTGCTGAGTACTTTAAAAATTGAAGTACCTTTGTGGTCTCCTCAGGATTAATGCCACAGTTTGTTTAAGACCTGCTTCCCCTCTCCTGCAGGTCAGGCTCCCTCAGGCTGTGCTACCTCAGTATTCTGTGTTAGTCATAGCAGGCTGCCTGCTGCCTTTGGGTGGTTTCCATTTCTGAGAACTTCTTGTGTGGAAACTTTCAGGTGTTCTGCCAACTGTTTGCTCACAGCTGACTCAAAATACTCAGTAGTATCTAAAAATTGGGTGGCAATAAAAGGACAAACCTCTTTTGCTGAGAAAGCTGTATGCATATTAGGAAGTGGTATTTCATTCTCTGGGGTAGCAAAGGAAGTAGGAGAAATGGAGGCAGAAACCCAGATTTCTGTTCAGCTGTAGCCATGCAGTGAGTGCTGTAACTGCTTGTTTTCTAGAGCTTCTGGTAGAACTTTTCACATGTCCTCTAAGAATTTTTAATCATTCTCTGAAGAGGTGTTCAATAAAGGACCAGATACTAAACTGATTATCTTCCCAAAAGCCCATTTGTTTGAAATTCTTTCCGTTGAATTCTGTTTTCCTTTAAAAGTGTTGTTAACTGATAACAATGCAGTGGCTTGATTCCCTTATCAGACAGTACACTGAGGTAAGCCAGGTCACTGGCACTTCAGCTGAACTTGGGGAATGCTAATCTGCAGTTTGAGTCTGGGGATTAATGTTCAGGTATGTGGTTTTGGTCATTTTGTCAGGGCTTGGTTACATAACATGTTTTCCTTTTGCAAGCTCACCGTGTCTCTTGGGATATCTCTGCCTGTGCTTCAGTGGCTTTTGTACACATTCCAGCCCTGCTGCTGAACTTCCTGTCCCTGGTGCAGTGGGTTTTCCTAGAAGGTTATTTTGAAGCCTGGTAAACAGAGGAGGCTGATTGGCAGGGAGTCAGAGGGATCTGTAGATCCTGGTGCTGCATGACGATACCAGCCAGTGGAGGGAAGGTTGTTACCAACAAACTGTTCCTGCTCTCCCTCTGGGAAGCGTCAGAGCTAGATTAGGACAAGCGAAGATCACATCGTGTGCAGGGGAGCAGAGAAGCAGCTTGTTTGTCTGTTTCCTAGATTTTTCTTGAAATTTGAACAATGGTACAACTCCAAGAGAGACCTCTCCACCTGTTTTCATCTCCTGTCTCCATACCTTCCAACCTCAGGCATTGTCAGCCTTCCGTGTCCCCCCGCAGCGAAACGGCGCCTATCCCGGTTCCCACTCAGCTACGGAATTACCAGCGCATCGAACAGAACCTCTCCTCTACTGCCAGCCCAGTGTCAAACCCCCACGGGTCACCAAAGTAAGTTTTGGCTTTTAAACTCCTTTTTCTTGGTCTGTGCTTTCTTGCTGATGTAATTTTTTTTCCTGTACAAAACCAGAGTAGAGACGTTTTCATGCTAACAAGTCATAGCCCTTCACAATCTCGAGATTGTTGGATGGGCACTTGAAATTTCTCATGAAAACAAAATGAGCTTGTTCTCTCCCTCCAATGCAACCCAAGAAGGTAAAAAGATCAAATCTTGCTGCTTTTTTTTTTTCCCCTCTTTCTGGATTACATGGCATTACATCATAAACTAGAAAGTCAGCAATAAGTTATGTTTTGTTTTCACATGTGTAGTGGTGAGAGGAATGCGTTGTTCTGTAGAATATCAAGGAAACAATTTTTGGCATGCATGTTACCCAGCTTGTCTTGCTACAAAGCTCTTGTGTACCAGACTTATTCTCTGCCTTGTGGTCTACAAGGACCAGGATGGTGAAGGTCAAAGACTCAAAATATGCAGAACTCTGGAGATCTTTACAAGAACAAAACCCATGTTTTTTTGCATTATTATTCTTTTAGGATCTCAGATTTTATAATAGTTGCTACAATATTGGGGAAGTGTGTGTCCCTTAAATAATCAGCTGATTATTTATATTCCATTAATATTGTTCTTATTTTATTAATTCATCATATTATTTAAATATTCAGTTGTCTGATCTGTATATCAGACCCAATGTGAAAACTTGGTCATAATCTTTGTTAACATAAAAATGGGTATTTACAGCAATAAATTTCACTTGATTGTAAAACTCAAAATTAGGATCCATAAGAGCTCTGGTTTAATTTTTTCCAATTAACAGACTCTTATAGCATTGAAAATTAAAAACAAAGGGAATTAAATCTTCTTGTTTTCAATATGGGAAAGCTTAGTTTAAATTATTAGCTTGGGGGGTTGGACTTGGCGACCTTCAGAGGTCCCTTCCAACCCCTGTGATTCTATAAGCTTCACCATCACAGCTTTCTCTTTACAGATCAGTATTTTATTTATTGATCATTACACTCCTCGGGGGATTCTGAAGTTGATCTCAAGGAGCCACAGTTGCTATGGTGTGTGTAACCCTTCTTTTCACCTTGTCAGAGCTGGAGTTGTGAGACGCTCAAATACAAGCCCAATGGGCTTCATGAAGATGGGCTCCTGTTCTCCAGTGCCAGCTGACACAGCACAGGCTGTTGGGCGCAGGTTGTCCACAGGATCTTCTAGGCCATATTCTCCTTCACCACTAGGTAAGCCCATAAGTTCTTAGCAATCAGTAAATTTTTATCTGAAACAGTAGTTCAAAACATTAATTCTTGCTTGAAATGGTCTTGAACCAAAATCACACTTGTGGAAGTCATCTCTGTTAGATAACTCCTGGAAGTAAACTGACTGGGTTTGATTTTTGCTTTACCTTCATTTGTAAGTGAGGTATGAAGTGTCAATTCAGATTTTGGTTTTTGTGTGCACAGTTGGAACCATACCTGAGCAGCTTGGACACTGTTGTTGTGGACAGCTTCAAGGACATGAATCAAGGAGTAGAAACTTCTCAGGTGGGTGACTCCAGACAATGCAACCTGTGCTATTTTGGCAGGGCTTCTACAGTGTTTTGTGAAGGGGAAGGAGGGGTCAACACTGCCACTAATATGGGTTATAGGAGACACTGGGTAAGTGGTGCCTTGAGTTTCTGCAGCAACTTAGCCCAGTTGTGTTGGTAGCAAGACACCTTTCCCCATAACTCATTCCTTACACAATAAGAGCATGAAGTTTCTTTTCTGGAGATGAAAAAGACAACTCTGATAATTCCTGTCTTTAAACAGGGATGGAGGCAAAGGGATTATAATGAATGGAGTAGCATGCTTCTCAGAACCTGGTTTTGATAGCCCAGCTCTGTCATGCCAGTCCTCAGAAAATGCAGGAAGAGCTGCCAGTGCACAGCTTGCAGCACGTTTTCCTCATTCCCTGAGGAAACTGACTGGGATCTGAGATTAGTGTTGCTAAGCATTCAGCAAGCTTTGCAAGTCATAAATGATGATGGCATAGCAGCACAAAAAAAAAAGAAGAAAAAGAAAAAAGGGAGAAATAGAACTTGGAGATGTTCTGAGGCTGCTAAAAATGGAATTGCACTGTAATGCCAGAAGGCTTGGGCATAGGAATATGCAATTCAGCAACACCTTCTTTTGCTCTATGCACATTTTGGGTGCAACTCCTTCTTTATCTAAAATACTAGTTATAATCTTTGGTTTTACATTTTAAGAGGTGTTGTTGAAACAGCATTATGAGTTTTTCCCCTATTTTAAGCACTTTCCATAATCATCTGGAGGTGATTGAGCCTTCATTTCTTGGAGCAGCCATGTTTCAAATATATGGGAATGGTTTCATCCATATAAAATAGGTTCTAGGACATGTCTCAGAAATTGCCTTTCATAATTGCTATGCCATTTGCAGCCTCAACTAAAGACAAGGAATGAGTGGATCTTCGGATCTGAAATAGTCTCTTCTCTTAAAAAGAAAAAAAGGATGTGTGAAGAGAATACAAAGCAATGTATATGTTTTTATTGTTGCATCTTTTCTTGGGGTAGAATTTTGTAGGGCTGTTTGTTTAGTGCCTTTTGCCAGTGTCAAACTGACTTGTAACAGCACAGCACTGGTTTTGTGGCAGAAATGGTTTTAAATGTTTAATTTCTTCATCTCTTTCCTTCATTCTTTTCCTGCTTGACTTTATTTCTGAACTTCAAGTGGCTGCAGTGGTATTTCTGTTTGTTAAATACCATGAATTGCAGCAGGTCTGTTTCTTAGCATTTAAATGGGTATGGGAAGCTGTCTTTTGCTTCTAGGTGAAGTGAGGTCATGTGTACTGAGATTTTTCTAAGGACTGAAGATGTCTGTCATAATGTAGCTTCTGAACTAATTGAGCTGCTCTTGCTGCCAGTGGCAGCAGAGGACAAACTTCTGATTCAGAGGCCTTTGCTGTTGTGACAATGACACTAGAACAGTGACCTGTGAGATTTAAGACTGGTTTCTGAAATGGCAGGTGAGGACTTTCAATGCTATGAGACAGACAACCAGAGGGGTTTCACACAAGCAAATTCTTGGTTAATGAGAAATAGACTTGATCCCTCTGCTGGAGCTGCAGGCAGAAAGGCTACTCTAAAACTTACTGTTTAATGGAGTGGAATGAAATCAAGATGAAGTAGCTCATGCTGGAAATCTAACTAGCAAAACCAAAGGCTTAGGAAGGTTGAAGGATGTGTCTGAACAGCTGGGCACTTTACTGAGCCAAGTGCAAGACGTTCATTATGGTTTTTTGAGCATACATTTACAAAATGAAGTCTGTCTCAGAAAGTGTGCCTGAAATTGTCACTGCAGTGACAATTCTTTGCCAGTTCTTTAAGGTTAGAAAGACAGGCATTCTATCTGGGAAGCTGTGACTATAAAGCTGAAATCTTATGAACTGTTTGTAACTTTGCACAGTTCCTGATCATGAGACAGAAAAATACCACAAGGAAGAGACCATTTAATCGAATTTCAGGTTCCTTATTTTGAAAGAGAGAGGGCAGCTTTGAGGTGAGATGTTCATAACAGGTATTTCCCCAGAGCCTTCTGTTTAAGTGACTGATCATAGCTCTTCCATTTCCATGTTCTTCAGGAGAAACTTTGCTCTGGTACTTAAGTGTGGACCTCCTTTGTGCTTAGTAAGCTGTTGAAAAAGATTCACTCGGACAGACTAAAAAGTAAATGACTGCCTGAAGTAGTGATCCCAAACTGTTCCATCTGATTAATTTAGTTCTTTTTAGTACCTAGTTTTCTTGCAGCAACCATGAGATGAGCTGCCTGTTGTGTCTGCAAATTAAGTAATTAGGTACAAAACAAGTCATTAACGTGCAATGTTGCATTCAGGCTCTTGTTTGCAGGAATGTCATTCCAGTACTTGAGAATCTCTATTCAACCTAATGTCTTGGCAGCTGCACTTGCAGTTTCAGTGTTGGTGATGCCATTCCTGC